GAGCGGGTTTTTCCAACTGTACTTGTACAGTAAATAAGACAAAGAATAAATATTTAGGAAATATATTTCTCCGTTAGTTCTTAAGAATTTGTAAAGACCGATTAGCATGTTAATAGTTTTTAGGAAATTTATAATTGTAGGTAAAATTGTTTGTTTGTTATCCATAAATGAAGAGATGGGGATACGTGTGACGAGCTTTGATTGGAGGAGATTGAAAAAGGTGGGATAGGTATGTAAGAAGGAGAGTTTAGCTAGATTTTTGAGGAGAAAAAGATAATCAGTGGTTTTCCAAGGTGTAGGGCGAACAGTCGTTGTTTTCTGGTAGTTACCCAGAGGTAGGAAGCAGTAGAAGTGAATGTTTGTGAGTTTTCGTGGAGTACGTATATCTGACAGAAGCTGATCCAGTAAAATATTGTAAGTTATAATTTTCTAACAAACAGCAGAGATCAAGAGACGAGTTAGACTGGCATGGGCGGCATTTGGCAAACTAGGCTACATTCTTAAAACACAAAAGATATCCACGGCATCTTAAGACCAAAGTATGTAATCAATGCGTACTCCCTGTTCTTACTTATGGTTCCCAAACGTGGACATCTACAAAAGCAAGTATGAACAAAATCATAAAAACCCAAAGAGCAATGGAAAGACAAATGTTGCACATAAGACTAATGGATAAGAAGAGAAACCAGTGGATAAGAGAGAAAACAAAAGTGAGGGATGTTAGACAAGAAGTTGCAAAATTGAAATGGAGATTTGCCGGACACAATATAAGACAAAAAGAAGACCGATGGAACAAAATTCTTATAAGTTGGAGACCGTGGGAATATAAACGAAGCAAAGGAAGGCCCCAAATGAGATGGACAGATGATATCAAGAAGCACGTGGGCTCTAGATGGATGACTGTAGCGACAGACAGAGAAGAATGGAAAAGGATTGGGGAGGCCTATGTCCAAAGATGGACCGAAGAAGGCTAATTAGATAGATAGATAGATAATTTTCTACTTATATTCCAAGAGTCACTGTTCGCCAGAGCGAGAGATTCAGTTTATCGAGAGGAGAAGAGGCTAGCATAATTTGAACGATACGTGCCTTTGAAGGAGATCATTAAAGACGATAGGCTCGCAACAATTTGTTGTAAGATTGCTGATTACCTAGGGGACTGCTAAGAATAGATAGTGTAGGCTACAAGGAACAAGTATTTGGACAACTCATCATCAGAGAGAGAGAGAGAGGGAGTTTTACTATTCGTCATTTTTTCTTTATTAACAACACGATTTTTACCATTGCTTTATAATAGATAGGAATATTTTGATCAAGAGATATGAAACAACAATTTTGATTTGAAATTTTAATTTATATTGTATGTTCCATTAATTTTTGAAGGTTCATGTACGTAGAACAAAATTTTGATAATCATTATATGAGATATTTTTATTGAAGATATTTGAGTGTGAATTTTATTTCAATATAATTTTATTTCAATATATAATGTTGTTTCATACATGTTTTTTATTATTCCGGTATTCTTTGGACCTTACGTATCATATATAAAGCATAGATATTGAAGCACGAGTATAACCCTGAGATAAGAGAATTAAATAGTGTGATAGAATCATAATTGCATCATGTAAATTTAATTGATTAATTAATTGCTTGGTGCACCACAGACTTTAAATATCACATTATTATATTATAAGGTCCGATTATAATTATGCCTTTTTCTACTAATATTGATTTTTATACGCGAACACGGGAAAAGGAATAAAGTTAAAAATAGATTTTATTGAAAAGATAATGTATCGCACCGAAAGAAGCTGATGGCAAAAAGAGTAAAACCAAAAAACTGCTTCTATTACGTTAAATGTAACTAATTACATCGGGAATTCAGCGGATGAATTCAGTTGGATCTGGTTACCAATATTAAAAGAGAAAATCGATAGAAAAAAATTACACTATGAGTAAGTCAAAAACATATCGAGTATACATCCCTTATATTTTAAAATAACATACATAAAAAATTAGAGTTTAACATTATTGAGGGTAAACTAAATTTAATACCAAATACTTACAATGAAATATTCTCAAGATTTGTGTCTTAGTTGTATATATTATTTACAATGGGATCAGTAACTAAAGAATTTTTTTTCTCATGACAGTTCACATCTTAAAATCAAATTACATGATGTATGTGCTATGATTTTTCTGGCCGGTATTCTTAAGTTTAAGTTGATAATTTTTTTTTATTTTACCGTATACCAAAACAAAATTTGTGTTTTAAAAATGATAACTGAAGTGAATATCAAAACGTTATAATACACATATTTTAAACAGAGTTTGTGTTAAATTTCTGATCACAATAGTAAACTATATTAAAGTGTCACAATAAAATAGCTTGAATTTAATATTTTAAAAAATTGTTGCAATAGATCAATATGTATAACAAAAAATTGTTGCAATAGATCAATATGTATAACAAAACAATTAAAATCAATGAAACAGAAAGATCGTTAGATTAATATACCAAATTGAGATTAGGAGGAACCACCAAATAAAATCTTAATGTACAGTATTGTGCGAATTAAATGGAATCATAGGCTGTTTTAATGAAAAAACAGTTTATTTAGTAAAAAATTATATTTTGACAAAACTATAAAGGTAAACTTACATCATTCAGTAGGAAATATGTCCCCCTTTGGCAGCAATTACTACTTTTACTCGTTTTGGCATAGATTCTATGAGTTTCTGGCAGTTGTCAGATATAACTTTATCTCGACACCAAACCTGAATGGCCGCTTTTATCATTTTTGTTTTAGTGGTACAGTCGATTTTTCGCTGTCTAGCTTTGCAAATGGCCCATAAATTTTCAATGGGGTTGAGGTCGTGCGAATTACCGGGCCAATCTAAAACATTAATCTTCTTATTTTTGAAAAAATGCCATCATTTCCTTTGATTTGTGACAGGGAGCAGAGTCCTGTTAAAGAATCGCTCCTCCTTGGGGTTGACATTTTTGGAGTTGTTCGTCCAAATACTTTTCCAACATGGATTTGTATTTTTGGCTATTCATCATGCCTTCAATTGGCACCAAAGATCCAACCCCCATGTATGAAAAACATCCCCAAAACATTTTCTTGACTGGATGTTTTATGGTTTGATCAATATGAGATGGTGTAAACTTTTCATTGTCAGACTTCCTGACGAATTTCGACCGCTGTCCTTGAACTATATAGTGGGTTTCATCTGTAAACAGGACTTTTTTCTAGTCGCCTACAGTCCAATTAGAGTATTTTTTGGCCCACAGTAGCCTTTGTTTCTTTATTTGTTCAGTTAGAAGCTGTTTTTTCTGTGGACGAATTGCCCTTCTACCATTCTCCAAAAGTCTTCTACGAACAGTTGAGTCAGGAATCACTATAGCTGATACTGCTAGATCTTGTTGTAGGTCTTGGCTTGATGTTCTTGGGTCCAATTTGCTCTTTCGAAGTAAAAAGCTATCATCTGCTGGTGTTGTTTTTCTCTTTTTTTCCACATTTTCCTAACCTTTTCACATCCACTAATCCCGTTACTCGTTTACGCTTCAAAATCTTGCTTACAACCCCCTGACTCACTCCACACGTTCTAGCAATCTCTCTTTGTGACATACTAGTGTGTTCACTCAACGTGACAATCTTTTCACGCTTCCTAGGCGTAATATCCAAAAACAACACAAAATAGTATAAAAACCCCCAAAACAACACAACTTCGTAAGAAATGAAGTAAAACACACTTAAACACACCAACACACAGTAAGGTTATGTTTTCAATGCTTGGTCAGCTGTCAACTGTGTAGGTAGTGTTGCCAACTGTGAATATTAAAAAATGAAAAAAAATTCACAGTGATTCCATTAATTCGAACAATACTGTATGTTTACACAATTAAAAAAAAACTTTTTTAATAATGGGTATAATTGAGACACCTTTTAAAATAAAAAAAAATGTAAAAAAGCAGAAACTAATTTTAATAAAATTCTTACCTTTTTTTTTCAACAACAATTTCCTTACTATCAGCTTCCCTTAATTCAAGAAATCCATAGGATTTATAGTGCACTTGCTTTTCAAGGTGTAAATGTCACGATCATCTGGCTACCATCCCATATCGGCATCGCTGAAAAAGCAGACCAAGCAGCCAAGCAAGCTTCTTGTCTAAACAGTCAATCCTCAAAAGCCCAACATATTCAAATCCGTAATGACCTAAAGCAAATATTCAAGCAACAACAGTATCGTAAATGGTAAACCCACTGAAACACAATCCAGAGTGAATTACATAAGATCCGGCAGACTGTTGAAAAATTTGAACTTCGAACAATCTCTAGAAACGAAAAAACTGTCATCCGAAGATTAAGAATAGGACATACTCGACTCACGTATGAATACTTAATGAAGTCCGAGCCGAAGCCCAATTGCCAAATCTGCTCAAGTGTATCAACAGTGAAACACATCCTGATCGAGTGTTTGCGGTACGCTAAACACAGAGTGCAACATAAACTTAAGCTAAATATCAAAGACGTTTTAAACTCACCCGATCAAGTCTTTAACCTAATTGGTTTCTTGAAAGACATTCAATTGTTCAACAGAATATGACCCCTTGTTTTCCATGTTCTTTACCTTTAACTTATAACTTAGTGATGAAACTGCTGTATTATAGGTTCTCAGCTTATATATTAACTGTAGCAATTAGTAACGTGTGCTTTTTGTAATTATTGTACACAAGATTGTTTGTGTCAATGGTCATTGGAGCCGAGACACATTAATTTAAATAAAAAAAATCCTTATTATGATTAATCATTCGGAAAGCATTTTATTGTGACATTTTTATATTATTTATACGACTTAATAGAAGCATTACAATATTTGACACTAAAATATTTACTATAGATTAAGATATATTTATATTGAATATCCAACATTTTAGTTTGATGAGCACTTTTAAATCATTTTATTTATTTTTTTTTGTTTCTTTTTTCTAGGTTGAGATGGCATCAGATGTTTTAATGGACGTCAACATCAACATAATTGACTGGCAAATATGTAAAGAACGTTTGCTCGTTACAGAGCGGATGATCTGCGCAGGAGATCTAAATGGTGGACGAGATTCATGCCAGGTAATACATTGATTCATTAAAATCTATAAATGTACATTTAATAATATTTTCCTTATTTAAATATAGTCTGTTGTTTATCGAAGTATTCCACATTTACAAACTACATTATCTTTAAAGATTGTAATAGAAAGCAAAAACATTAAATAAAGAATTGGATTATCAAGTGGCAATAGATTTTAATTGCTGGGAGAGGAAGAGCGTAATGTAGGATTACAACAAGCATGTAAGCAAGTGTCATCAGTTATAGAACATGCAGTCAAGGAAATCATTAAAAAAAAGGACTCGCCCAAAATGGAAATGGTTTGACAAAGCTGCAAATGCTGAAAATGCTAAAAACAAAGCAGATTTTAACAGAACAAGAGCACAAAAAAGGTAACTATTTAGAACTAAAAAGAGGAGCTACCAATAACAGCAAATCCGAGAAATGGACAGAAGTGTCGAGAGGATTCAAATGAGGATATTATCTAGTGAAGTAAAGTCAGTCAGAAAAGGTGCAAGTGTTGGAGTAACACAGTCTATGAGAAATAAAGCAGGTGAACTTATAATAAAAGAGATGGAAATTGTCGAACGATGGAAGGAATACTTTCGGAAAGTGAGACGGAGGAAGCAGATATTACGTTTCATTCTGCAGATATCGAAATACCAGCACCAACACTTGAGGAAGTAAAGAATGCGATCGCGTATCTAAAAGACCATAAAGTACCAGAAAATGATAGCATAAATAAAGAGTTGTTAAAAAAAGTAGGAAACCTTTTACACCAAAAATTATATGACATCATTCCGAGAGTATGGCAACAACAGAAAATGCCTAGAGAATGGAATGCAAGCGTTATAATTCCCATATACAAGAAAGGAAACAAAGAACAATTCTGAAACTATAGAGGCATATCTCTTATTAGCACATCATATAAAGTGCTATCAATTATCTTACTAAAGAGCCTAACACCATATTCGGAAGATATTCTAGGCGACTACCAATGCAGCTTTCATGCTGGAAGGTTAACTATAGATCAGATATTTACCATCCGACAAATATTAGAGAAAATCTGGTAATTTAATCGCGATGTGCACCAAATTTTCATATATTTTCGGCAAGCATATCTTCTTCTCTTCTTCTTCTACTTTTTGTAGAACTTTCGATCTGTTTAATTCTGAAGCTGCCTCTGGTTAATTTCTTGGGAGGTAGATTGCCAACTATCCCTCCATCTTTTAGGTGGTCTTTCGGGGGGTCTTGAACCGGGCAAATTGTTTTTTAGGGCAATTTTTAGGAATCTATTCTCATCCATTCGTCTTACATGGTTGTACCACATCCTTTTGCGCTGCCTTTCCCATCTTACAATATCTCGAATTTTGCACTGCTCTCTAATGTTTGTATTTCTCACTCTGTCTCTTCTAGTTTTCCCCATTATTGTTCTTAGGGTTTTCATTTCAGCAACCCTTAGCATCTGTTTCGTTTTGTTGGTATCTTTGCGCACTTCTATGCCATATGTCATGATCGGTCGAATGCAAGTCTTATAGATTCTAATTTTACTATCTGTGCGCATATACGGATTTGACCAGACTATCTCCCGCAGACATCCTGACAGTGCAGATGCTTTGTTGGTCTGACTCCTCAGGTCCTTTACTGGGTCGTGGGTGCTTGATATATCTATGCCCAGATATCTGAATTGCATCACCTGTTCTATGGGGTTGTCCTCAACCACTAACTTACATCTGAGCGGATCTTTTGCTATTGTCATACATTAAGTTTTGTTGGTAGAGATGTTCATATTTAGTAGCCGGCTTGTTCGAAAGAACTGAAAGAGCTGCCTTTGGAGATCATCTTCTGATTCGGCAATAATTTCTGCATCGTCTGCGTAACACACCATACCAATTCTTTTGTTGCCCATTCTATATCCCCGATTAAGAGATTTTACTTTGTTGATAATTTTGCCCATGAGAAGATTAAACAAGAAGGGGCTTAAACTGTCGCCTTGTCTAATTCCTCCAGGTGTTGGAATATTTTCAGTGAATTCGTCTCCCGCTCTTACTTTGGTTACGTTGTTGTTATTTAGGTTATGGAGTATCTTTGTTATACTGGTCGGTGTTTCATTTTCTATTAATATATTTAGAATGTCTCCCAGGCGAACTCTGTCAAATGCCTTCGTCAAATCAATGAAGAAAATATACGCTGGCATGCCGAACTCTATAGCTTTTTCTTTTATTTGTTTTATTATAAATACTGCGTCTCTTCTAGACCGCCCTTTTGTAAAACCTTGTTGTTCTTCAGCATTAGTGATTTGCTTTTCCAATGTGTCCTCGAGAATACCCATGAAAATTTTTATTGTTGTATTTAAGAGGGTTATTCCTCTATAGTTTTGTGGGCAGGTTTTTTGTCCTTTTTTAAATATGGGGATTGTGATACTATTATGCAATTCCTCTGATGTTTCTGTTTTGTTTAATATTTTGTTTAATAGTTGTGCCAGTTTACTTGCAAGTTCCTGGCCTCCATATTTTAAAAGTTCATTGGGTATACCATCCGTTCCCGGTGATTTTCTGTTTTTTAGCTTTTTGATCTTTGCCTCTACTTCTTCGTCATTGATTGTAGCACTCACATTTGTTTCGCCTTCGTTTATATTCAGCGTTTCTTTAGCATCATATAGCTCTTTAAAATGCTGTTGCCATGCCTCTATAGGTACTTCTTTGGTCTGCACGAACTCATTAACTGGTTTTTTCCTGTTGCGGAGCATTTTCCATACTTTCTTTGGGCACCATATAGGTCGTAGTCCATGTCGCAAGTGAATTTGGCCCAATGTTCTCTTTTGCTTGATTTTATTCTGGCGTTTACTTCGTTTCTTATTTGGACATATTCTGCATGAGGTTCTTCCGATTGCGTGCTTTTATATCTCAGGTAGCATTTGCGTTTTAATTCAGAGAGTTCTTTTACATCTTGGCAAAAACCACGGTTTGGTGTGGTTTGTCGCTCTCGTGTTAATTTTCCGCTTTCTAATCGCTTCTTCTGCTGCTTCGTTGATGCATTTCTTAATTTTTTGCCTTAAGTATCTTCTACTCCCCTTTCGGGTTTTAAGTCGATCTCTTTTAGTTTGCTGGTAATCCTGTTCTCATAAAGCAGTTTTGTACTCTCTGTTGCTAGCGACTCTATATTATGTTTTTCGATGAACATTGGGGGTTTTCTGTTTCGTTGCGGGACGTTCTAGTAGCATCTTGCATAAAACAAGGTTATGATCAGTCCCCAGTTTAGCAGATGTTAGTGCTCTGACATCAAGTACTTGTGACGGAGTTATCGCTCGATTTGTGATTATAAAATCTATCATTGATCGCTGGCCTCGATTATTGTTAAAAGTGTATTTATGTTGGTCTTTATGAGGAAAGTATGTATTGTTGATTCTCATTTTATTTCTAGCGCAAAAGTGTATTAGTGCTTCGCCGTTTTCATTATTTCTTCGTTGTATTTTTGTTTTATACCTGGTATGACTACGTTTCCGATCCGTGCATTAAGATCCCCGAGTAGGATAATTTTGTGTTTCGTATTTATGTTATCTACGACGTTTTGTAGTTGCTGATAGAAATTTTCAGTTTCTGCTGTAGGCTTAGATATGTCTGGGGCATACGTGCTTATCAGGTGTGTTGTGATGTTACGCATTTTTATAGAAATTTTTAATAATCTATCGTTGATGTATTCGATATCTTCGATGTTTTGCGTGTATTTATCGTGCAGCAAAATTCCAACTCCTGAATGCGCTCTTTCTTGTTTAGATTTCCCGCTGTATATGAGTATAAATTCTCCGTATTTTGATGTTCCTTTGCCTTTTTTCTTTGTTTCGGAGCTTCCGCAGATGTCAATATTGTGTTTCTTCATTTCTATTATGATCTCCTGGTCTCTTCCGTTCCACGACGTAATGTTCCAGCACGCGATTCGTGTGATGGGGTCTTTAGGTTTTCGTTTACCAATTCGTTTTTCCATTGTCATAGCGTGTGTCGTCATCTGATATTTCCGTCCGGTATCCGAGGCTGAATCTTCAGTTCTGTGAGCCAGTATGGGTTTCTTTACCCCAGGTAGGTGGCTAGCCTTGCCATGGGGACCCTCCTCCTTTATCCGGGCGTGGGACCGGCAGTGTCATCCGATGAGCTTCTCAATCCACCCATCTGATAACCCAGGCAAGCATATGATTCCATAAAAAGAAGTAAATTGTGTATAGTAATGTTAGAAATTAGAATACTAAGAAAATTTGGCAGTGAAACATGGACTCTTAACCAGCAGGAAATCAATAAGCTTCTAGTATTTAAAAATTTAAAAGAAAAGTTCTCAGAATAATGTTTGGCCCTCTAAGAGATGAATTCACAGGGGATTGGAGAAGATGCCGAAATGCTGAATTGGTGACTCTGTATGCAACTGAAAACATAGTTAGACATATTAAGGCAAACCTAATAAGATGGGCAGGTCACGTGGTACGATCACAGGATGGCAGAGTGTTAAAGATAGTATTTTTCGAAAGACCAGATGGTATAAGATCATCAAGCCGACCAAAAAAGTTGAAAGGATGATGTTAAAGTAGATTTATCTAGAATCTATTTAGAAGTAGAGTTATCTAGAATTGGGGTACAACAATGGGAAAAGGAAGCGCAAGATCGTAGGTGATGGAGGGCCATAGTGAATGCGGTGAAGACTTACCCCTAGTTATAAAGATAGTGAAGAAAAAGAAGAAGAAAAATAAAAAGTAGACTGCTGTAAGATTGTATGAATGGTATCATAATGCATCCTGTTAAAAACCATTCAAATATTCCTTACAACAATTGTTTTATATTATAATTGAATTATACTAAATAAATCCCTCAGAATTTTAGTACATTTCGTTCCATTGTTGTAAAGAGTAGTGCTGGTACATTCGACAACGAAGCCAATAAATATAAACATTCTAAAGATCTACGCTCCCGCCGCTGACCATGGCATCCATAATATTGTATTCTATTACTAAATCAGTGACATAATAAAAGCAACAAAGGACACAAAATTACGCTAATGCACCAGTCTAATGATTGGAATGTGAAATTTAACAAGGAAGCAACTGAAGGAGTCACCGGACAGTGAGGTCTGGGTACACTTTGTAGCAATTTTGCTACAGGCTAGCTACTCGGGTTTTGCTTGGAGAGCTAGATAGTGGAGAAAGATTCCTTTATTTGGGAAACTGAGAGAGCTAACTACAAAAAAAAATAACAAAATACTTACAGAGATTTTCTGGGCAAAAATACGGTCTCTTAGAGGGACACCCAACATATGGCGCTCCATAGCCATCTGAGTCACACTTATCTTATTAGCTACCTTTTTTGTGAGTGTTAATATTCTCGCTCCATAAGTTAGTACAGATAACACACATTAGTCAAAGATTTTTTCTTTTTAATGCATATGGGTAGATTTGGGGAGTCATTTGCGATAAACTTGTTAAATTTTTGCGTGTTTTAAATTTTTAAATGATCAGTGCTTTACTAGTTCTAATGTCTTGGTTTCGTTTTAGAGATTTCGTCAGAGCGGTATAGCCACCTCTCTGGATCAAAACAAAATTTATTCCCGTCCTAAACAATAGTTATAAAATAAGTATATACGGACCTAACTACGCCATCTAATAACAAAAAGAGAAATCAAACAATTTCTACCTGGCGAAATCGAATTCAAATTTTGACCACCGTGCTTTCTAAAACTTGCAAAGCAAACAGCTTAATAAATAAGTTGACAAGGGAATCTAAGATTGCATTCATTTATTGAATGTCATTTCTTAGTGAATTCAATTTCTGGTACTCCAAACCTGGTATACCAAACGGAGTAAAGAAATAAAATATAAAGATGTTACTAGATTTTTGTTTTAATACAGAGCGGCGGCAACCGCTTATATGGTATAATTGCATAATTGATTCTTGCTGTGAAGAAAACTGGACAGTCTACAACGTGTTTCACCGAGAGTTTAACGTTACACTGCTCACATTTTGGTTTGGATTCTTTAGTAATTAAGAACTTGTGCGTGGCACGGCACTGGTATGACCTAATCTAAGACGAGTTATTGTCACTTGATCCCTTCTTTTGGCAGGGAAACATCTCCATGGTTTAATGTTCGGTTTAATATTCCGAAGATAGGACACTGAAAATTCCCACCGGTTTTGCAACTCACTTTGGATCCGCGATTTGATAACACTTGAAACATCACTAGCTATTACGTATTTCACAATAATAGAGTCAGCTGACTTGACGGCTTCACGCGCACACTTATCTGCTTCTTCATTACCTCTAATACCAATATGTGATGGGATCCAAATAAATATTACCTCTTTATTACAATGTTCTATCTTTATCAGATTTTGTTCTATTTTTTCAAGAATATTATTTTATTAAATAAATTTATTTAATGATTGGTTTGTGAGCAGTCACTGTCTGTATCGGATACTAGGTCGTGTGGGATTTGCATCTGTAAGTGTTTTAGAAGAATTTTTCTTAATTTGGTATTTCGTGTCTTTGTAGATCTGACTTGAGTATAGGGATATATTTTGCTTAACATATCGATGAGAGCTGTAAAGTTGTTTGTATAATGTTTAACGGTAGTAAGTGGATCGGGTGAATTCTTTATGTTGTCGAATAGGTCTTTTATCTGAACAAAAGTTAAAATAAATGGTGGTGACTGCTGGTTTATGAATGCTTCTAGAGATTTACCTTTATTTTGTTTTTTCTTAGGATTAAATGGTATTTCTGCTGGACTGGTAAACTTGTGTTTATTAGTGGTATCATTAGAAGGCGGAGAAGGACTTAAGGTATCGTCAATAGTTCTTTTTGACATTTTCTGTATAGTTATATAGGTATAGGTATAGTTATATAGGTTCTGTATAGTTATATAGTTATATATAAATATGTAATATGGTAATAGTGTAACATTTTCAATTTAGATACGCTTCGGAAGTTTTTAAGAGGCAAATTTTAAAATTACAGAGCAATTGTACATATGAATTTGTTAATTTTATTTATTTTGATTCCATATAAATATTTTATTCATTTTATGTACCTTTAATTGTTACAGGGTGATTCGGGGGGACCACTGGAACTCAACGGCACATTAGTCGGCATCGTATCATTTGGAGGTTTGTGTGGAGAACCAAATTCACCTGCAGCTTATACCAAAGTATCAGATTTTCTATCATGGATACACAAAAACATTGACATTTAATGTCGGTCAAGACAAATTTTTCCCCTATTAATTAATCGCAGAAAAAATCTGTTATAAAATATTGACACTTTTTGTAAACATAATTTTAATCGGATATTAAAAAAATAATAACAAGCTATATTTAATAAACTAAACATGACTTGATTTATTTTATTTATCTTTTCTTTGTTCTTATGATGTGTAGAAGATTCGTACGGAAAGAAAATTGCACAGAACATTAAAAATTTTCGGAAAAGTTAACGATTACGTAAATCTCACACGTTTAATAATTTCGCGTTTATTTTTTACCCTATACTAAGTGCAGAAATCTTTAAAGAATTGAAGTTTGTTTTCTTTAAGATTTGTCTTGATATATTATAGTAATGTCACAAATATAGTCACGTTCCATTGGGTCTCCCAATTGATCTGCCATTTGTATCTGAATCCATATTTTAGAAAGCATTTTGTACAAAACTTGTGATTTATACAAAATGGCTATTTCAAATATGTATACATTTCGTGATGAACACCTGAATGCAGCCAAGCTACAAGAGTGTATAAGAAAACTTTTAATAAACTAAAACATCATAAAACAGACGAAAACATAACGGACTACAAAACACGAAAAGCTGCCGCAAGATACATTCTAAAAAAGAATAAAAAAGAATCCTGTAAAAAAATTAATCTCATCTCTAAATACCTCTTCAAGCATAAGTACAGTTTGGAGAAACTTAAGGAAAATCTCTGGCAAAAGACGACCATATATGCAAAAAAACATATTGAGATTCGACACGGGAGATTCACAACCTTAACATTCCTTTTTTCTTCATAGAACTTGCTGAAGCCTTAAACTCTTCAAAAGATTCAAGCTCGGGACCAGACGGTATACCCTTAGCATTTCTATTACATCTACCGGACAATGGGAAAAATTTATTACTAAACCTTTATAATTTTATCTGGAGTAAGCAGTTTTTCCCATCAACTTGGTCCAAAGCAATAATACTACCACTTCTTAAACCTGAGAAATCCCGGACATCACCTAATCATATCGACCAATATCTTTAACCAATATTAAATGTAAAGTGTTAGAGAAAATGGTAAATAAAAGGCTGGGATGGTATTTAGAATAACAAAAACTCCTTATTCTACAACAAAGCAACTTTAGGCAAAATCGATCCACTATAGATAACCTAATAGACTTAGAGTCAGGAATACATGAAGCATTTGCAAATAAGCAAGATTGTATCGCAGTCTTTTTAATATTAACAAAGCTTATGATACTGTCTGGCGATTCAATATAGTATCAAAATTGCATAATTGGAATATCAGAGGCAGTATGTTAAAATTTATTTCAAATTTTCTTCAATCCCGCAGCTTCATAGTTCGATGAGACAACGTTAACTCGGATAAAAAAGTTCAATAGAACGGAGTACCAGTCACACGAAAACTCGAATAATACTCTAATTCGACATCTGACATTATATAATCAAACCTCAGTTTCACAAATAATATCAGATTTTTAGGTATGGATTTCGACCAAATACTGGCCTTCTGGAAAAAACATACAGAAGAACTTAAGAAATTATGTCAAGCATTATTAAATTCAATGAAAACAATTTCCAGCAAAAACTGGGGAGCTAATCAAAATACACTATTACATGAATATAAATCGTTAGTTAGATTCAAACTTGACTATGGTGCCATAGTTAATTCATCAAGCAAAGTATCAGTATTAAAAACCTTAGAAACTGTTCACAACACAGCTGTACAAATAGCTACAGGTGCGTTTCGAACGACACCAGTTAAAAGTTTACAATACTTAACAGGGGAACTATTCCCTAAGTTTGCGATGCAAGTACCTTTCTCTCTTATATGCTTCTAAAATAGCTAGTAATAAAGAACACCCTACTTATACCAATACGTTCACATATCGATTTCAAGACACATTCTCTACAACAAGACTAGATTCACCATTTTACGAAAGAATTAGAAGAAACCTTAATAACCTACATCTTGAATTCCTGAAATTCTCCCAACAAATTTCCTAACTTCTCCACATTGGTTAATACCAATTCTCAAGAATAATATTAACTTTAGTATCTATAAAAAAGGAGACTATAACAGACCTGATCAAATAATCATTCTTAATAGAAATGAAAAACGTATAAAAATCACTATAAGATATACACTGACGCATCCAAATCTTCAGACGGTGTTTGTGCAGCCATCCTCATACCCAATACATCCTTAAACTTTAAAAACATTCCCCGTCTCTCATAATAACCGATTCACTAAGCTCACTTCATACTATCAAACGTTTCTATACCAATAATCCAATTGACTCACATATACAATCATAAATAGAGATTCTAAATAATAATAAGATCACTGTTGACTTCATGTTTGTTCCTTCACATTCAGGTATACAAGCAAATGAAAAAGCAGATAAACTAGCCCGCTTAGCATCCTTCAGCTAGGACTCCATTCTTATTAATGAGGTTTCTTTAGATGACTTCCAGTCAGAAATAAAATATAAAGTGTTAAGTGCGTGGCAAAATAAGTGGAGTGTATTACAAAATAAACTCCAGGAAATCAAACAATAAGTGAAACCGTGGCTCTAACCCACAGCGAATAGACACGACCAAATGAGAATAAAGGTTTGCGACTAGAACACAGTAACATAGACACCTCTTTACGCGAACTATGCAGCCAATGTGTAAAAATTGTGTTTGACAATTGACTCATTTATATTGACAATTCAGACATATATTATACATTTTAAAGTAGACGACTTTAAAATGATATTGCCAATTTTGCTGAGTTGCGTTCCTGGGATGACTTTATTGTAAGACAGTTCTTTCGATTCATAATCGCATAAAAATCATAGCATGTAATTTCTCTTTAAAAAGACAACCACATTCCATAAAGACAGTAAAAATTCTCCTGTAACTGATTCCATAGTATATCATAAGGAAAAAACTAGGAAAAAAATAATACTATCCCAATATAAATAGAAAATATCTGGTCTTACATTTAGTTTATTCTCAGTAACACCGAATTCTGATTTTATATTTATGTTATTATACATGATGTATCCTTGATATGTTACCTACTGACTTAAACTCAAAGTCAAACAATTAGCGGTGCACGTCATAGATTTAATGACGTCATAACTCAATGGTACAAACTTGACGGCAAACAAATTCAACAAATTTTTCCTCATATATAAGTTTTTTCGCTACCGTTAAGTTTTGCAGGAAAGCGCTGTTGCCAAATAAAAAACATATATGTATTTACCACAGCAACTACCGGCTACATTGTTTCTCTTTGTCATTCAAGAGTGTGAAACAAAGATAACTATATGTACTGTAAGTGTCAAACCCATGTTGTCCTATAGAAGGTTATATAAGATTTGTTTATAGTTGTGAAGTTGGTTAAAATATAAACCTATAAACTGTCTACAAAACAAATTCTGTTACTTTAGTTTCTCGATTTGATTTCGATTCAATTTTTTGGATATTTTAACTTAATTGTGTTAAAACAAAAATGCCGTCGCATTTGACCAGTCATTGCAAGCAATTAATTGCAAATTTAATTGAATATTTTGAAAGGGAGAAGAAAAACGGTGGTCCATTATTACCACTAGAAGCAATTAGAGAGGTATGTAGGTCTTATTATTTAAATATATTTAGAAAGTATTTTATTTAGAACAGATAATACAATTATGTATACTAAAAATACTGTTTTAGAGAGTTGCATCAGCGTTGAAGTTGAGTATTTCTACTGTCAGCAAAGTTTCTCAATCCGCAAAAGAGAATACACCTTTATGTTCTCCACCTAAGAAAAGACCGAGACCTGTAAAACCGATAACTAATTGCAATAATGCACCTCTAATTCGAAATGTAATTTATGAAATGTATGAAAAAAGTAAGTATATTTTAATATTTTATTGACATATGTAAGACTTTGTTGTCAATTATATTATAGACTATAGATTAAATTTTCTTTTAGAGCAACATATAACTGTTAAAACTCTTCATGCAGTTTTACAAGAGAGAGATCTATTTGAAGGTAGTGAATCATCTTTACGGAGAGTACTGCATAAAATTGGATTTAAGTGGCAGAAAGACAATCCACGCCGGGGCCTTCTAGAACTTCCTGATATTGTTTGTAAAAGAATTCAATACTTAAAGGCATATAAACAACTAAGAGAGGAAGATATTTATCAGTTTGTGTTTTTAGACGAAACTTGGATTTTCCAAAATGGCTCAATCAGACATTCTTGGCAAGATAATGATAAAAAAAGTTTGAAAACAACCAAAGTTGATGGTAAAAGATATATTATTCTTCATGCTGGAAATGTAAATGGATTTATTCATGATGCTGAATTAATATTCAGTTCAAAAGATGCGACTTCAGACTACCATGGTGAGATGAACGAAGAAAATTTTTTACACTGGTTTCAAACCAAATTACTTACAAATTTAACTGAACCCTCTGTTATTGTTATGGATAATGCATCATACCACAGTACTTTCGTCACTAAAATTCCAAATACATCATGGAAGAAGGCTAAGATTCAGCAGTGGCTTATGGAACAAAAACTACCATTCGATGAAAAACTTTTAAAAGCAGAAATGTTGAATATTGTAAATTTAAATAAACCGCCAAAAATTTATAAAGTTGATCAGTTGGCTGAACATATGGGTCATAGAGTTCTACGTCTTCCTCCATATCACTGTATGTTTAATCCCATTGAACATATTTGGGGAATATCAAAAAATTATTATAATCGACATATAGGTAGGGACGGAACAACAAAAAATGACTGTTTGGCCATGTGGAAAGAAGCATTATTAACCATTACTCCTGAAATATGGTCAAACACTATTCAACATGTGGACAAAATCATTTATGACTCTTGGGAAAGAGAGGTACGTTTTGATAGGGATGACATTGCACCTGTGGTTATTAATTTTAATGAAGACGGTGAAAACAGTGACACTGATGAAGACTTTAATTTTGATCAGTAAAAATAAGTATTTTTATTTCCAATAATTTCCAAATTT